TTCTCCTGTGACCGCAGACCTCTCCCTGCGGACACAGTCCAAGAAGAAGACGTGGACCACATGCGATGACCAGTTCCTGCACCACATCGAGGACCGTGGGCTAACTCTAAGTTAGTTATAGGAAGCAAGAGAGGCTGTTAGGTTTAGGTTTAGATTAGGTTAGTTAGGTTAATTTAGATTAAGTTATATACGATGACATATCTTAAGTTACATAGAGTGTTAGACACTCTAACGATGTTAGATTTAAGAACCCGTAGATAAGTAGCAGTAGGAAGTTTGTAAACTTAGCTAAAAATAAATATGTTCAAATAGTAAAGGGGAGTCAGTGAAGTGACAGCAGCGACCGGGATCAGAAGAGGTTAAACCCCGCGAGTCGGAAGACCGAGTTTTCCGTTTGTTATTGTTATTGTTTGAGAAGTTGACGTTAATTTAGAAGTTAGTTTGTTCCTGTTCCGTAGTTAAAGTTATACCGAGTGGAATAAAAGTTGGAAGCAGAAGAAAGAGTTTGATACTCGGTCATCCACGGTACAATACCTATATTGAATATTTTTAGTACCTACTCTATACATAATTTTAAACTTTACACGGTATATACCGCTGTATTATTATAAAATGATGATTATAAACCACCAAGTTTTAAGAATTACTTTTATATTTTTGTGTTTGTGTTGATTCTAGTTTATTTATTTAATAAAAATTTTATTGTTTCAATAAAACTCATATGCCATTTGAGTTTTATCCTATAGTTCTGCTTCTAGGGCCAAAATGTACTAAAAATAAAAATATTTGCACTCTTCAAAGATACACTATGTATAATGTTACAAAATATTTATTTGCTACGTTTAAATAACGTTTAGCACAACGTTTCAGTAACATTTCCTTAAAGCGTTTCAACAATGTTTCAGCGAAACGTGTCAATGAAATGTTTCTGAGGGCGAATTTTTTCAGTTACATAAAACTTTCTGAAACATATAGTGCAGATAACTGAAATGCTTCGGGATTTAAATATACGTTTCTGAAACGTTTCTCAAACACAAAATTGTTCAGCGGGTAAGGACAAACGGGTATTTATGTAATGTTAGGGCGGCAGGTTATTTTCAAAAACATTGTTCCCATTCTTCTGATCTAGTTTTCCGCAAATGTTTCAGTTTTGAATAACAGTAATATTGTAAAGCTATTTTCATGTACTACTAAAAAATAGTCAGTAGAACCCCCGGTTGAATCACGCCCATTTGGAATCACCCTGCACACGGAAATAAACTTTTGAACTATTTCTGTAAAATAAAGTTTTGATCTTTTTTCATAATTTTCGTCAGTCAATAAAGTTTTCGGTTCTTTTGTTAAATAACCTATAGGTTGAAACTACACTTATCAGTAAACTCCTTAACAAACACAGTTATACAGGGTGATTTAAAATTTGCGTCATTACTCTGGAGGTGTCTTAGGAGTAAAGAAAAATTGTTAAAAAAAAGAGTGATATTTGCAAATACTATTTCAGAACAACGGCAACAATGTTTTTCAAGGTAATCTGCCTAAGGAACATTATGTTAATACCGGTTATTTCGAAATTATTAAAAACTCCGGTAACCAAGAAAAAATACAGAAAGTGACAATAAGATAGGTAAGTATAAACGGTAAATTCAACAGTATTCGTTAAATGTAGGATCCAGTTTTTTCAAAATGTCTATTTCATGTCATCGAGAAATTGTTTTTTTGCCTTTACAACCTCGAATTGTATGCAAGTAAACATTTATTTCTGCCTTTATCTCGAAACAAGTTAGTGCCTCTGTAATCACCTTATTGTGCTCTTTCCTCGAGCAGCTATTCGGTTAACTTAATTCTGCTGAATTTGTACCGGTGTTTAGTAAACCATCGGTTTAATGTGTATCTTACGTATGTGGTAGGAATGTAGCCATTCGCCGGTATTTATTTGGTGCCTAGGAAAGGGTCAGTTGTCGTGCTCTGAGTACCCCTGGAAGACACTGCTCCAATTATTTCCAATACTTGTTTTATTGTGTTTGGCACCCGAACACCTATTGTCGTACACTATCTTCCTGGAGCTAACCTTTCGGTGTTCCTAGCCTTTTGTTTGCGCAGGTTCTTACATTTTCTGCTATGTTATTGTAATATTCCTCCATATCTTATGGCACATCTGCATATTTGATATTGGTACACATTTTGTCAAAAAACTTTCAAAATATTTCACGGTTTGAAAAATGTGCCAATTTTCATTTACAAGACAAAAACGGGAAAACTGTGGTACAAAATTAAGAAAATAATTTGGTGAGAAGATAAGAATCAAAATTGTCGCTCCATCTTTATACATACAAATGACATAGAAAATGTGATGTTCCACAACATTAATAAAAATCGCTCAATGCTTTCACTAACGTTAAGATATCAAAATATCATCGTGAATATTCCTTGTCATTGCGACATACAAAGGAAATATAATATGTATCGTAATCGACCAGAAACTGAGGGTTATGATATTAACTACCAATCCGATCAAAAAATGTTTTCAGAAGCAACAAATCAAGATAAATTTTTAATCATTTTAGTAGTGTGTTAAGGTTTAAAAACATAGTAGTTGTTTTTGGTGTTTAGAATAAACCAGTTAGATGACATCATAATTCAACGCTGTTCTATGTTTTCCTTCACTGCCCGCTAGGAAATAATTATATTTCTTTGGGATTAAAGACAATTATTACATTTATCTCGACACACTCCTGGTGAGTATTATACAGGGGGTCCCACCGGGAACCGCCCCGCTAGAAATATGGCAAATTGTAAATAGGAGAAATGTGAAAATTGATGATGGGGGCAAGCAATCTAAAATATTTTCACGACCGCTACGCTTCCGGTTATACCGGAAGTAGGTCTCAACTTGCTTAATTTAAATGTAACACCCTATATACAGGGTGATTCAAAATTGGCGTCATTCCTTTTAAGGGGTGATAGAGGCTCCCTTGGGGAGTACGAGAAAAATATTGAACATTTTTTTCTCGAAAATTTCTAGAAGATATTAACAGTTGAAGATCTAATTTCAACTTTGTTATTAAGCATTATTTTAAAATTGTTCCATGTTTAATTGGTAGCATATTGGAATACTTAAGCATTCAAAAAGGAAAATTACCGTTTTTGCTTCAAATTACGAAAATTTGTGACATCAAAAAAGTTATCTTCAAAAATTTTTTGATGAAAAGGAACAGCGGCAATGACGTTTTTTGTCATTAACAGATAGTTACAGGTGGATAGCCCTTGTCAATAATAACAACAATTTGTCAAACTGTGACTTACTTTGAATTTCCTTTCACGAATTTGCGGATACGCGACAACGACAATAACGACAAAAAAACGATTGTAAACATATTCTATAAACGAAATGAAAGAAACACTAATCATATAACATCGTAGAGATATTTACTGATGTTGAATATTTGTCAGCATATTTCATATAACGTGTAACAATGTAGAAACGGTACACCGGCAACGTTGTTTGTATACTTACAATTAGTGATGAGCATAATTCGTTTACTAACAGAAGGAGGGACTCCGTTGGAGGCAATGCACAAATACGCGCCCATGTGCTTTCTGCTCACCCGCGTCAGGTTTAGCAATGAACCTGCTGCGATTGCAACTGAAACAGAAACGCAGGAAATTATAATGAGGAATTAAGCACAGTGGAACAAGGGAAGCAAGAGACGAGTAATTAAGCCCGCGTCAATTCGATCGAAAGATCCATGTTTAATTTGCAGAAAATGTGCTTTTAAGCTGTGAATCGGACCCTCTAATATTTATTTACATCGGTGCTAAATTTCCGACGGTAAACTCAATGAGCTCAGTAAATGACGCCTAATTAAGGAACAAATTATTAAGGGTAGCTAAAAAGTAGCTACAGGAATAACTTTATTGGGATTGTTTAAATTGCAATTTAGACCACCCCTGAAATTAGTGATGACAAATTTATATTGTGACATAAGTTAAGTAAGTTAAAGTAATAAGAAACATGCAAGTTGAGGCAGTTTGTATTCAAGTAACTATAAAACTAAATATAGAGAGATAATTTTCCTAAGAAAATTTAACTAATTTATATTTTATAATGGATAACTGTATTATATTTTTGAAGCCGATGTTTAGTGTAAAACAAGATTTATTCTGCGTGGTTTTTTTTTACGAGTATTAATTATCTGTTACGGCATAGGTAATGATCGCTTTTATTTTGACATCGATGAGGAGAGAGTGGTTTCAATGCCAAAAAGTAAAGTTTCATCCGTTTTCAAAGTTTATGGGTTGTTGCCATGACGACTACACACATGTGCACCCGTGCATTGTCCTGATGAAACAGCATTTTGTTGTACGCGAAATACGGCTATTTCAGCTTTAAGTCCACATCGAATCTGTTTCAAAAACTACTGTCACAAAAGTGAAAACTACTTAATTTTTTAGGATATATCAATTTTATTTTTCAGCATAATATCTTTCTCGACTAATACACTTCGTCCAAGGATGCTCTAGTTTGTTGATGCCTTCCGAATAATAGGATATGTCCAAGTCTGTAAAATAGGCACTCGTTTCAACAATCACCTCCTGGTTTGAGTTAAATCTTTTTCCCGTCAGCCATTTCTTCACATTGGGGAACAAGTAATAGTCTGAGGGAGCCAAATCTGGAGAATACCGGGGATGTGGAACGAGTTGAAACCCTAGTTCTATCAGTTTTGCAGCCACAACTGCTGATGTGTGAGCTGGTGCGTTATGATGATGGAAAAGGACTTTTTTGTGGGCCAATCGTAGACGCTTTTCTTGTAGCTCGGATTGCAAACGGTCCAATAACGATGAATAATATGCACCTGTAATAATTTAACCCTTTTCCAAATAATCATTGAAGATTACTCCTTGCGAACCCCAAAAGACAGTTGCCATAACCTTCCCAGCCGACGGAACTGTCTTCGCTTTTTTTGGTGCAGATTCCCCCTTGCCAACCCACTGTTTGGACTGTTCTTTGGTCTCATTGTGTAGTTGTTTGTTTTCATCCACAGCCACAAAACTACGCTTAGTCCTGAGGATTCCGCTGGAACAGTTGCGAACCGCCCATGCAACACCCCACACGATATCGCTTTTTTGATCAATCGTGAGCAATCGCCGCACCGATCTTGCGGATGACTTTTTCATGCCCAAATGTTGGTGCAAAATATTATGTACCCGTTTATTCGAGATGCCCACAGCAGTAGCAATCTCATGCACCTTCACTCTTTTGTCATCCATCACCAATTTTTTAAAATTTTTTCAATGATTTCTGGAGTAGTGGCCAAAACAGGGCGTCCAGAACGTTCCGCGCCACATGTGTCCACTCCGGAAATTTTGAAACCACTTATAAAGTGTTCTGATAGAAGGTGCCGAACAACCATAATGTTTATCAAGTTTCTCTGTAGTCTCCTGAGGCGATTTGCCTTTCATAAAATAATTCTGTTTTGTCCATATTTTGAAAATCTCTCGACTTGACTCTCTTGACGACTCTCGAAAACAAATAAACCGACCTGGCTGAAACTTGGTGTGTGTTCTTCCAAGAGATGCTACTAACTCCCTCGTATACGCTAGTGATTGTTTTACCATTTTGAAGGTAATCTATGTGAATAATATCCGCAGGTATCCCAAAAAAACTGTCGCCGTCACCTTGTTGGACCGACAGACCCATTTTGGCCTTCTTTGATGCACGTTCACTGCCACTATTTTGATTGTTGTTTGGTCTCTCGGGTGTTGTGATGGATCCACCTTTCGTCAACGGTTACGAGACGTCGCAAAAACTCGTGCGGATCGCTACGGAACATCGCTAAACATTCATTTGAAATGGTCACCCGGGAGCGCTTATGGTTGAGTGTCAGCAATTGCCGCACCCATCGTGCGGATAGATTTTTGATATCTAAATATTGATATAACATTTACGATGCCTACGACGTCAGCCACCTCGCGCACTTTTATTCTCCGATTCGCTAGAATCGTTTCATGGATGGTATCGACCATCCTGGGAAACAGAAATTGACAAAGTCATCTCTCTTCAATGATTGTTAACCACAAACTAAATGACGTAGCCTGCTCAAAATTTCACAGCAGTCTACTAATAGACGACAGGTGACGGGAGTAGTGTTGAATTTAAAGTTACTGCTCGGGAAATTCAAAAAGTCACTTACATATCAAACGACCCTTGTATTTAAGCAAATTTAATGACAATTGACAAATAATTGATTGTCGTTAATCTTTTTCTTCTTCTTGTACTTTTCCGAAATCTTGTGATCTGTTAATTCTGAGCACGCAGTATTTCCTGGGATGTTGATTGTGCTCCGTGATCCTAGTGTTTATGCTTCGTTTTGTGGTGCCGATGTATGCTCTTCCACAGCTGCACGGAACTCTGTAGACTCCTGGTGCTGATAAAGGATCCCGTTTGTCCTTGGCCGATCTCAAAGTCTGTTGGATGGGTCGAGTTGATTTAAAAGTGGTTTTTACTTGGTGTTGCTCCAGTATCTTGTCGATCCTGTTTTTTCGTCGAATTGCTCTATTGAAATCTTTCTTACGGTATCCATTCCAACCAAAGGCCCTTTCCAGGTGTTTTAATTCTCTCTCTAACTCGGCTGGTTCGCAGATTCTTCTGGCTCTTTCGGTGAGAGTTGTGATGACTCCTCTTTTCTGACTGTGTATATCAAAATAGGCATGAAATGTCATAACAGTTGAAGATTTTGCAATTCTTCATAAAGTTCTTAAAGAAAATCTCATTTTTGTGAAGTTGTATAGATACAATGGATGCTTGATCAGAAACCTTTGAATGGCACTATAGGCTAAGCCCAAATCATCTGCGGCACTTCGAATAGAAGTTTGAAGATATGCACGAAAGTACGCTTAAACATTTACAATGCTGCCTTTATCAGAAATAACAGGTTTTAGTAAGTTCGGTTCAGCTTTCAGTTTGGTGCCATAATTAGGAAAAGTGTACAAACTTCTTCATTTGCTTTAAATTTTGAAACATTTCGTTGAATGTTCTGCATGTCCTTGCAACAATTTGGTCACATTGTCCATGAAGAATATACAGTTTCATTAAAACTTCGTTTGAATTTTTTTATTATTATTTTTTTTATCAGTTTGAATTGAAGTTGAACTGAATGGTTTCTCTCCATTTTGTGAATAATTAAGTCTAAACTGCACTAAAAGGGGCTTAAAGGCTTTTTCTATTACTTTGTTGACTTGACAACTGGTTTGAAGAATTTCAAATGTTCAACTATTATGAAGTTTCATGGCTATTTTGATAAATACGTCGAGATAATCGAATTTTTGCAACAATGTCCATTTATTTCGGAAATTTGACGCTTTAGGGATAGAAACGTGATATATTGTTTCACAGGGAATTTAAAGGTCTTCCCGTATTTGAACTAATATACGGGGTGTGCTATTTGAAAAAATGTAACACATGCTGTATGACATGCTGTATAATTTGGAACAAAATGCTGTACGCCGGGCGCAAGCATAGGATTTTCCGAACCCAGTACCCAAATTTGAAATTTACAGGGATCGAAATCGCGTTGTAATACAAGATTACTTGGGGCTACGTTTTCATTAAAAATAATGAATTTTACTAAATATTTGGGAAACCGCTTTAGATCGATATAGGAATTGTTATGCAGAAATAATCAGATCTATATCGTCAATCCAACCGAGCTTTAAAATATACAGGGTGTCTCATTTAAAATAGCAAAGTTGTATGTACGTTTCGGTATAAGCGGCAACCTCGCATTGTTGAAAATATTTTAGGCCGATAGAGCATATCCGGGGAATTCGTTATACAAATTTTCAGATAGATCCTGCATCGCGTTCTCCTTAAACTTCTAATACGCCATCGACCGTGAATCACCCTGTATATAAATTGGGGACGCTAATACTCAATACATAATTTGTAATAATTTAACTTTCAAAAAACTTAAAACTAGTGTCAAACGCGAATGTCGCGAGCAGTTATGTTTATCTTTGCTTATTTGCTTCCAGGTGCATAAATCTATAAAGTTTAAGTCGAACACTACTTAATCGGGGGGATGTTGAAAAAAAACTAGATTTAGATAGTCTTAACTGGTTTGAATATTGCTATGGTTATAAATTGTGTTTGAGTGATGTTTCATAAACCTCATAGAACGGAATTAATATAGACCAGCAAGGTGATATTCAATTCTCCAACAGAATTATACAATTTTCATATTTCTTAAAAGCAGTGGTAAATTCCGCAATTGATGTTATTATAAATTATTAATTCAATTTCGGTAATTCTCACAAACAAAAAAATTTCAAGCAGGGCTTGTTTTAGGTAAAAAAATGTGATACACAATAGTACTACATTACACTTACGTTGATATTGAGTGCTGCATTGAAAAATTTCAATTTGGGTGATGGATTGGCTCATCATTAATTAAAATCTACGAGTATTATTCATAGTTTTTCCTATGTTTTATCCAAAATATTCCTTATTGAGACAACCCGGTAAAGGTTGGTGTCAGAACACCATCCGTCTCGTTCAGAAAATATCTTCCAGCCATTAAGTATAACTGTTACTCGATCTGAGAAGTTACCTTTGATCGATATCCAAATCCGTAGATTTATAGATAA